GATTCAGATCAAGATAAACGATGACGATGGTTTTGAGAAAGGACAACAAAGAGGAGGAGGAGGAGGAGGAGGAGGAGGAGGAGGAGGAGAGGAGGAAAGTGAGGCAGGGAAGAGGAGGACGAGGAGGACGAGAGGACGAGGACGAGGACGAGGAGGAAAGCGATGGAGTCGATGAAAAGATAAGGATGAAAAGAAGGAAGAAGAGTAGGTAATGGCGGTGATGAAAATATCCTCACAGATTTGAACTCTACAAGGCCTTGCCAGTATCTGCAAATGAAATTGAGCGACCGAAAGGAGGACAATAGGAAGGAGATGCAAAGAGCAAGAGTGAATGATTATCTCAACGTGAATACAACTAAGAACAGAAAAGATAAGGAGAAGGAGAAACGATCGATGGGAAATGTCAGAGCAAGAGGCTAAAAGATGCAAAGTAACGAAGCATGAGAGAAAGAGAGAGCAATCGAGTAAGACACGAAATGATAGAAGACGAACAAGACAGCGTAGAATCAGCATCGAGCTCGATAAACTTCACCTGTACACAACTTCATCCGACAACTGCATCGTCACTGATGGAAGACGCCAGCGGGACACAACCGTCGTCGCATTGAGATGATGAGCACACTGAAAGACAGGCAAGTGAGTTGTCTAGAAAGTTGCCATGTTACCAAACTCAACATGTTTGCCATCACTATCACCACCTCCACCATCACAATTCAAAAATCATCTTGTTTATCATCATCGTTATCAGCAGCAGTCTCCAATTTTTCACGATCATCATCATCACCACCACCACCAACGCCACACAACCTTCCATCCAACGATGTAGAGTGGGATGCAAGCATAATTCCTCTCATCGTCATTGACAATGTTTGGCCAAAGTTGCGACAGGAATTTGTTGCACTTCATTGTAAAGGTCTCCTCGGAGCTGATCATGCCACGTCAGCTGAGCGATTCCAACAGAGGGTGAGGAGGAGGCAGCAAACAATCGCCTCACTCTTTTTTCCTCGTCTTGTCTGCCTGCACCATGACTGTGAGGAAGGGAGGGAGGGAGTGAGGGAGGGAGGGAGGGAGGGAGGGAGGGAGTGAGGGAGGGAGGGAGGGAGGGAGGGAGGGAGGGAGGGAGGGAGGGAGGGAGGGAGGGAGAGGGACAGCAACGAAGGAAGGCAGGCAGGCAGGCAGGCAGGAAGGGAGAGAGAGAGTCGAGGGGGGGTGAGAAGAAGCTCTTCTCACCTTGGTCGCTAGCACGAAGAGATGGCGAAGGAACTGCCTCAGCACCTGACGACTGTCAACGTCTCTGCTGCCAGCAGCACCCCAGCAGACCGGCAGGAGATAATCCGAGTCGGCTTGTAAGAAGTTGACGAGGTGCCGGACGGATTTCTCTCGAGATGAGTACGCGTCTGCAATCCTGCTTGCAAGAAATGAGCATGGGGGGATGGCGCACTTGTGTTGAGGAATGATGAAGAGGGAAGGTGTCTACATCACAACGAGCAAACAGGCAGCAACCACACACTCAACGAACTTGGGTTTCATACCGCGTGCAAGCTCGATAGCCACCGAGGACTTTTCGATCTGAAACGGGGAAGGACCACAACGGAGGAGAAATTTCATCAAGATGTACAAGTTGGCACGATCTGATTAAAGTGGAGGAAACTTTCATCAAATGTACAAGAGGAGACGATCATTGCAAATTGTAAAACTTTCATCGAGATGTGCAACAGGGTATGATCACAACCAACACGACATCCTCATCGAGATGTACAAGATGCATCAATGCTCCTGATCTCTCACATTCCGGTCGACTCGAGCCAGTGACTGAGCGCATGGGTCTTGAGAAAAGCAACCTGTAAAAGGTCGAAGAACTTGAGCGACAAGGGAAGGCGAGAAGGGGGTGGAGGAGGGAGGAGCAGGAGCAGGAGGAGGAGGCGAAGGAGGCAGAGGCAGAGGCGGAGGCAGAAGCAGAGCAGGAGCAGGAGGAGCAGGAGGAGCAGGAGGAGCAGGAGGAGCAGGAGGAGCAGGAGGAGCAGGAGGAGCAGGAGGAGCAGGAGGAGCAGGAGAAGTAGGAAGAGAAGGAAGAGAAGGAGGAGGAGGAGGAGGAAAGGAGAGGAGGGAGAGGGAGGAGGAGGAGGTATGAGAGGAAGGAAGAGGAAGAAAGGAAGAGGAGAGGATCATTTGCAGGTAGGGGCAGAGGAGCCACTTTGTCAGGGTCCGTCGATTCGCTGTCGCGCGGACGGTTCGGAGGACAAAAATTTGAGAGCCTGGCAAGGAAAAGCAAGTGAACATGAAGGGAGAAGATGGAGTAGATACAAGGAAACAGAAATCAAGAGTACACGGGTCAGGGAGGAGGAGAGAACAGTGTAAGGGAGGAGAAGGAGGAGAAAGGATTAGGACAAGAAAAGAGGAGAGGAAGGGGAAGAGTCTGTTGCCGTAGCAGCGTCCTCACATCTTCGATATCCCAAAGCCATCCCGGCGAGCGGCCAGTCGGTCAAACTGAAGATGACGTATCACGTTGCGATCATGAGAAACTATGGCGAATGATCCTTTCAGCTTAGCGCCCTGCCCTTTCTCTGTCCTCTTTTCTTATCCTGTGCTTTTTCCTCGCCTCCCTCCCTCCCATTCCATCGATATCTTCTCCTTTCCGTGCACCTCCACTTTTACCATGTCCTCCTCCTCCTCCTCCTCCTCCTCCTCCTCCTCCTCCTCGTCGTCGTCGTCGTCCTTCTCCCTTTCCTGCCACTCCTACCACACCAACCACTTCCCTTCCTCCGCGGACTCAAAGGTACCACCCTTCCGAAATATCAAAAAAACTTCTCTACCCCTCGTATCTAAAATGGCACCGGTCATATGACCAATTCAAATACCCCTGACATGAACTCAATGGACCCACCATATCAGTTGGAGGTAAGTACCCCCACCCCCAAACTGAGTAGAATCCGGTCGCGATGCAGCGCAAGCTGCTGGCCCTGCTTGTGCTGTTAGCGCTCCATGGCGGAGCAGGAGATGCGGGCAGGGGCGAAGATGCTCACGAGTATCGCGACAACATGGTGATCCGGAAGCTGCCAGCCGACGTGAAGAGGAGGCTCGAGGAAGCGAAGAAGTTGGAGGGGACGGACTGGGAGGGAGTGGCGTCGGCATGCTTGCAGATCGGCCGAGAGGACCTGTCATGGCGCGTCCTGTCGATGATAGCGCGCATGAGGAAGGACGCGTATCGCTGTCCTTCCGTCTTCTACAGCTCCTATGGATGGGTCGCTTCCTACTCCATCGATCCGACAGCATCGCACCCTCCAGTTCTCTGCAGCTGCATGCGTCCCCCCGCTCAAAACGTCAACTTCCTGCAGACCGGCACAACACTTGAGGAGGCACTGGCGCGATATGCTGAATTTCACCGCTCAGTCTACTTCGCTGACAGACCCCCCGACGATACAAGGTGGGGTTGAGGAGCGAAGAGAGAGAGGAGAGGAGAGTAGGGGCGAGGGGAGTTGAGCGGGGAGCGAGAGGAGAGCAGTGAGGAGGAGAATAGATGGTGAAGGCTGGTCAGGTATCTTATCTACCGTCCGAGCTTCCACGGAGAAGGATGGGGCAACCGAGTCATCGCTCTGACAGCTGCCATGACCATGGCCATGGCGACTGGTAGGGTATTCCTCCTGGACTGGACCTCATCGTGGGACCTCACCAGGTAGCAGGAGCTGCGTGTGTGTCGCGCCATGGCTGACATGAGCACCTACCATCTTCACCCCTGATGAATGTCCTCCTCCCGAGCAAGATACGTCAGACTTCCTTTTCAGTGCGATGCTGGCGAGTTCCGTCGGAGACATCCTGAGCTGGCTGACCTGCCAAGAGCGCTCGTGACTGACCCAAAGCAGCTGCGGCATGGTACACCACACCCAGCAGCCGTCATGCTCTACTCCTCCTACTCCTCCTTCTGGGGTCTGATCAGCAGGAGGTGACGAGAGGAGCGGGTCTTGCCTGTGGCTGATGCTCCGATGCAAGAGATGCGACGTACCCTCTCGGGCGTCTGTGCGATGTAGCCGACGACCATGTAGCCGCGAGCTCCTTGCGTTGCGATGCGGTGCTGAGCTGGGAGCAGGCGAGCCGAGTACTGGGACATCGGGAGTACCGACTGATGGGCTGCATGATGAGGGTGGGGCTTCCGGAGTAGAAGATGCGCTTGTTGGCATTCTGAGAGGCCCGGCAGGCTCTCTTGAGCCCGACTCGCCTGATAGAGGAGCGAATGATGGTAGTCTCTTTAATCTCTCTTCGACCCCTCCATGATCTCTGTATGACTTCTGTTCCTATGATCTCCCTTGACTGTTCCTATGACATCGTGTGAATGTTCCTTACATATCTCTTAACTGTTCTTGTGAAATCTCGTTACTCTTCGTTGGTACTCCTTTGTCTCAGTTCAACAAAAACCTGATTCTTCTCTCCTGCAGAATGCCATAGCAGGCGCTCGGCATGTTGTCGCCGCGCATCTCAGGGTAGGGCCCCTTCATACTAGCAACTACGTGATGATGACGGGTGAAGCGAATCTTTGAGAGCTGCCAACTTGCTCGCATTGACACTTGTTCCAAGACAAGGATCTACATACAGCATGGGGCTGTATCGATGAGGTGTTCCCCATTCGTTCCCGGGGAGAAGCCTGACGCTCTTGCCGCTTCTCCTCCTCTTCCCTCCCATCAGTTGCTTGCAACGAGGGATGGGACGGTGCTTTATCTTGCCACGGACCTTGAACAGGTTGAAACAGCTCCAGAGCCACTTGATTTGCCCTCTCCTTTCCAGCTCCTCTCATCGTCCACACCTTTTGCCAACTCTGCTTCTCCTTTCTCCCCTCTCCTGCCGAACTCTCCTCCTCCCCCTTCCCTCCTCTCTTACCAACTCTACTCTACTCCCTCGGTCTTCCTCTCATCAATTCTCCTTTGCTGCTCAGTCCTACTTGCACTCAATGTCTCCTCCTCCTCACCCGGTAGTCGCAGGTTCGGGTGCTTGCTCGCAGCAAATACGGCGAGAGGGTCGTCCAGCAGGTCCGCTCCTCTTCACCAGCTCACGGCTCACGGCAGAGCAGGAGGGCCCCGTTGCCCACACTGGCGAGCAGCATGCTGCAAGGGGAGCAAGTGCAGTAGACGCGCAGGGGAGACCTCGTGGGGAGGACGGGGTAAGTTCACCTCCTCGCCCAGGATCCTCCTTTCTCCTTCTCCTCACTCTCCTGCAGGTAGAAACTGCCATGCTCGACTGGTGGATGCTCGGCAGAGCACAAGACGCGGTCCTAACGGACATGTCCTCGTTCGGGTACTCGGCAACAGCCAGGTTAGGGGAGACAGGGTGTGCGAGGTTCACGCTCATGGCGATCAAGGTCGCTGTTCAACACAACGATGCCCATCACCATCAAGAAGAACTCGGAGAAGGTAAGGAGAGACTCATGCTCGGCATCGGTGCAGTTCTTACCCACCACAACTGCAGTGCCATCGGACGGTATGGCAAGGACATGTTTGCGGCAACGAGACGTGCTGATCGGGAGGGATTCAGCAAATGTCTAATGGTTTGATGAAGAAACTCTTGCAGACAGAGTAAATCAACCCCTGTCCAAACAGCAGAGAGAGCTGTCTCTCTGTTCAAGCATCTCCGTACTTCTCCTTAATCTTGTCCATGGCCCAAACCTTGAATAGGTGTTAATCCATCTCGCATACTGGGGTATGCAAGCTTGCAAGACAGAAGATGCCTATCTCAAGGCAGAAGAAGCCTGTCTCACCTTGATGCTTGTCTTTGGTCTGTAAGCTCCTGCGATCATCAGCAGGGTGATCCCGCCCATGATGCCGAAGTAGATGGTCTCCCACCCCTCGTCCTTTGGGGTCTCACCCGGCTGCCATGAAACAAAGTTAGAGCAAAGTCGCTAGAACTATCACTCTCGCGCTGTAGTCGCAGCATATTCTCCATTACCTTGACGCCGAAGAGCCAGCCATTCGGCTCGTTCCTAACATAATGCTCGCCTTCGGACGATGAGCCTCGGGCAGGGGTAGTAGACGAGATGCTCCGAGCCTGGACAGCACGAGGAGCTGACGACAACACTGCGCGCGAGACTGGAAGCGAAGTTGAGGAGATGGAAGAGAAGCTTCCTGCCATTGAGCTACGCGCATGACGAGCAGCTGCAGCTGCAACGCTCCCTAGCCGAGGAGCGACCATAGCGGCAGACGACGCTGATACGTTACCAACTTCGCAATATTGAAACGGCGAATAACCGTAGAGTGAAACGGTCGTGCCGCCGGGGCGGGCCCGCCCCCGGGAAGGTGACTGAACTCGGAATCATGAGGAAGCCTGGCACGGTACGGTAGGTGGCGACCGAAGGCCAAGTTGCCACGGTGACGGGCCAACATTCTGACATTCAGGCTAATAAAACTAGTCTCACAAATAATAATCATGAGGCCGCCTCGAAGCCTGGCCCGCGCGGCGCCCGCCCGGCGCCGCTGGTTTAGCCTGAAGCAAGACTCAGAGTAAAATTTCAATCATGTCCCCCTCAGAGTCCGGTCCCGGCAGGCTCTTCAATTCCCGGGGCCGACTCCGAGTCGCCGGCCAGCCTCTGTGCGGCCCGGGCCTCCGAGGCCCCGGGTGCGGCCTCCCAGCCGTCACAGCCAGGCTAGACACAGGCTTCGCCAAGACTTCTCCAGTCTGCTACCTCCACACACGACCTGATAGAAGAGCAGGTAACTTGAAACCCTATTTCACATCCCTCCTCCCTCCCCTCTTCTCCCCTCCCTCCATTACATCTCAGAGTATCATAGTATCATTGTATCATCAGACACCCACAAATGCTCTCTTGTTCGTAAACCCCAACATGCTACTAACATGTCATATCAGTTTTAATCAATGTACCATGTCAGTCACTCTCCTCCTGTGTCCAACGAGTCTTTGCTAAAGGACTGCAAAACGGTTCGGTCTTCAGGCCTACTTCCACCATCATCAAAACTTTCCTATGACCCCTGATTTCGGCCTCTCTTTCATCCTTGCGCTGGTCAACAATACAAGCTCGCCAGTGACTATTCTCTCTGAGATGTAAAATCAACACCTCTGTCCCGGTATTACACTCCTGCACGATCTGTTCAATGCTCCCTTGCTTCATCTCGGACATCATGAACAAAGCAAGATCGACCTCAGGGGTAAGCAGCTTGCCAACAAAGTTACGGCACTCCGATGTAGGTATAGCAGTGCTCCTATTCTTGAATTCTGCCCTTCCAATCATTCTCTTTCTCGTCTCATGAGCAGGTCCTTGAAACTTTGCATCAACCTGGTTCTGGTCTCTCACACGCGTATAGTACCCATAAGCCGCTCTTCCTTTTCCTGGACTTGTAGCTGAAAACGGAAGCAGATTTTGGATGCAGGACGTTAAAATCTCAAAGAAATCTTCGAATTGATTCCCGACCGCAACCGTCTCAAGGATTTCATTCACACTTCTCGTCTCCATTTCGCTGCCACAATGAAAAGCAATGTTCTTGAGAATGTCTTGAGGCTCAGACCAACTGCTGATCATCATGACCACTCCTCCAAAAGACTCCAACGTCCCACCATCTCGCTTGTACGCATCCACAGCTGTTGGGTCATTCTTAAAAGACTTCTGCTGATAGATCTCCTGTAAGACTGACAGTGCAGATTTGTCCTCTCCAAACGGCCGTCCATTGCCTGCACATATGGCCGGAGTCAATGGGTCAACATGAGCTGGTGCAAATCTGGTCGTTATCTCATAAAGTGATGTAGATTTCAAAGTAATCTTGTCTGGGTTTGATGCTTCTCTTGCCAGTGTTACTATGCAGCTATCATCCCCTCTTGTTGGTGGGTTGCCCGGCCGGCCAAACATTTAGCAAGGCAAAGCTCGTCGACAGGTGCACCTGAGATAAAGATTCGTGGGCTGCAATCTGAAACATACAGTATAAAGAAGCTTTGCTGAAGCTACTTTTTACCGCCTTGACCGTCTCCAATATTGGAGAAGCAAACTTACGTAGAGCATGGGCAGGTTCATAGCTTTCAGTTGCTTTTGCCATGGCTTCAACCATAAGCCATGGATTCACATTATCCAGCAAAACAGAGGCTTCTTTCACCCCAAAGATCCTTTCGAGGCATGCCAAGTGATCATGCGATGGAGGAATGAAAGGAGGAAGAGCTCGATGTGTGACGCAGAGTAGCTTCTCTTCACCATCCCGACTGTCTGGCGCCGATCTTTGAGCTGCGTCGTTAAAGTTCATGATTAGAGTATTCGTTCCCAGCATCATACAATGTATCCTGGCATTCCGCAAGATTCGCTTCAACAGTACCAACCTGCCGATTGGATATAGGATGTGACACTCTTCTCTATGTGAGGGGATGGCCTCGTCTAATAAAACCCACAGATTCCGCTGCCAGCTCTTCGCTTGTTCGACAGTGACAGGTTGACCTCCTCTGTCTGATTCAGAAGAAACCCCAGCACTCCGAGTACATGCCACCCTTGACTTCGCTTCATACTGATGTTGATAGCAACAAGCGCGGCAGCCTCCCCCTGGTTCGAGGTATACTCCCCAATACAATTCCACAAGTCAATGTCCAAAGCACGGTTGATAAGATTTGTTATCTCGGACACCTCCTGGTAGATGAGCTGTGTATGTTTGTGGCCAAACAAGAAGTACAAACATGTATCAGGGTTGCGAACAAAATAATCCACAGCACACATGGATTTTCCACTTCCTGAACACGCCTCCAACAGGCAGGTGTAAGGACCCTCATCCTTGGTCTTACTCATACTCACCACTCTGTCAATCGGATTCAATGAGCTGAAAACCTCGGTCGGTGTTCGATTGCCGGGACTCCAAATGTTGTTCTGCGCTCAGCCGATAGCGCAGGAACTCCTTCAGATTTGTAACTGCACGGTCCTTCATACTTTTCTTGGCAAGAGCACGTAAACCTGTAAACAGCCATCAGCCGTGCATCTACACTCCATCCAAGTAATTGCCTTCAAAAGCAAATATAGGAGAAATGCTTGCCCGGAGAATTCGGCTTCGATCTTGTGCTTGAG